GTTCACTCACATACATCATATTTATGTGAACCCTTTCAATCTTTTTTAGTTTACTTACAAACATATAAACGTACATACTCATAAAACGTAAATCTCCAGTAGTCTTATGAGGTATATATCCCATAAAATCTTACAATTCTTTTAAATTTTTTTCTCATACCTATACCTATAGAGACTTTACCTATTTATAATCATACAAATTTATCTATTAAAAATTATTTTCCTTTTAGAATTCTTCTTCTGTAAATTTTCTTATTCATCAAATAATATATAACAAATCTCAAATAAATCTCTCATAATATTTGAGTCACTATTCTTATCAATTCCACTTTGACTCAAATTCATCAAATCATTTATTTTTATGCTAGACATGTTTGGTTCAAGCTGCAATGAAAGTCTCACAATCATCTTCTCTTATGTGTCTTCATACTTTACGTAAATCGATCATTAATCTTCAAAACTTTGACTCAAACTTTTTTCTTGAATCGAGCTCTTTTAAGCTTGTTTCTTCTCATATTTTGAATTATGTTTTGATACTACTTGTTAGGTTAAAAAGCCCTAATGCAATCATATTAGCAGAAGCATAATCAAACAATCAATTAATCACACAAAAAATAACAATTTAATGTAGTCTCGTCTAATTGATTTACGTCAACGGATAAGAAACAACATCCACTAGTTGTAAAAAATTATAAATATACATCAAAACATATCAATTACTCAATAATCAATATCTATAAATCATCTCAATCTCCTCTAGTTCTATGGAGTATTCTTAACTAAAACAAACACATACACATATGCACCATTTTAACACAAACAAATACATACTTATATGTACCTATTCATCATACCTATATAGATCATCTTAGTCTCTTATAGTTCTTTGAAGTATTCTCAACCTAAATAAATACATACCCATGTACACCCTTTCAATACAAATAAACATATACTCATATGTATCCATTAATCAAACTTATGTAGATCATCTCAGTCTCTTCTAGTCCACTCATATACGCCATACTTATATGTATCCTTTCAGTTTTCTCTAATCTACTCACAAATATACAAATATATACATTTAGATGACGTAAATCTTTAATAGTTTTATGGGGTGTCTATCCCATAAAACCCTATAACTCTCTTACATCTTTTTTTCATACCTAAACTTATAGAAACTTCACATATTTATAACCACACAAACTTGACTATTAAAAATTTCCTTCCTTTAAAAATTTTTTTCTATAAATTTTCTTATACATCAAGTAATATCTAATAAATCATAAATAAATTTTTTATGAGATTTGAGTTACTATTTTCAACACTTCACTTCGATTCTGTCATACTAAAAAGTTGAAGTGTGCACTCTCGTAAGATTTAATACTGTCAAATAATTACCAATCCATGTATAAACATAATGATTCATGTATTTGACATTATTATTATTATTATTATTATTATCATCATCGTTGTCATCGTCGTCGTGGCGTTCATGAATGGTTCCTTACCGGAAGTTTGAACTTACAACGGTATTAAACATATGCTTGCTAGGGTACGGGAAAGTTGGGAGTCCGTTTGAACACTATTTGAGCTGATGTACGGATAACGGGTAGGAGTGGGGCGCCATATTACCAAATTTTATGTTGGGTTACTATCATCAGGCGTCAGGACAATGACCCCAGCTCTCCGCCCACCTTCCTCAATTATTACCACTACCGCAATATGTACGTGAAGATGAGGTCCAGTTGAAAAAAGTTGAAAGGTTAATTTATATATATATATATATATATATATATTAGGCTTATACAACAAGATATTATTTGATCAGTGATCAATATCGTTTTTGTGAATAATTCAGTATCGATATTGATGCCTCCAAATATTCGTCAATTCTAAATTATTATCAGAATGATGACTTTGTCATAGACGAATAGCAAGGGAAATGCAAAACCAAATTTAAGAGGGCTCATGCAATTTTTGTCCAACTACATTTCACGGGTTAACCTGTTTCCTGTGACTCAACTAATTTCATTCATTTAATTTCCAACTATAGAGTGAGCTAGCCATCCATGGCGGTGGCCATGCGTACGTAGGTTAGACTCAAATCGGGTCAAACCCTCAAAGGATGCCCTCCCCAACCCCCTTCATCATATGATTCAACTTCCCAACGCCTAGCAAATGTTTTGATTTTTGACGTGAAATGGTTTTTGCACTCAACAGTTCACATGCGCCATTGACTTTTTTATAACCATGCAAACAATTACTAGTAAAATTAACATATCGTGTGGTGAAAATTTATATTCGTGTACTATAATTGACAGAAAAAAATCAAATCATAGTGTTGACTGTTCAACATGAAAAACCTGATATTTTGATTCTTTCCAACTAATTTAATTAATTGCTATTTAAATGATCATTGATACAGCTTGTTAAAGTCAGGGCATCCAACAAAACCGGGTTTTATATCCTGATTATACTACCAAAGCAAAAGACAATCTAGCCAAGAACCAAACGAACCCTGACCCGCCCATTTACTCCAACTTTGACAGTGCAGCATCTGATTAATTTTTACATACATATGTATATCCATAACAGTACTGCTGCAGCTTTTGCATTTTGGACTTTATACAAATACACAATCCATACCCTACGTTAGTCTCCCAAAAAAGGGCAGAACTTCCTCTAGAGATAGGGTATGATTTGGGATTCCGATCATTAATATGCCCCAGATTGAATCATCACCATTTATTTATAGACCTCTTGGGTCCTCATAAGATGATAAAAAGGCACCTTATCCATAATGCACAGGCAACAGTGTAGCGGCAGCATGATCACAGAAACTTATAGCGACTTGCTCTAGGTTTATCCCATGCTGATAAAATTTTCACCAGGTTTCTTCCGATGAGAAAGTGCCCTTTGCGTGGTTAAATTAACCTTGCATATATAGGAATAAATTAAGAAGCAAAATATAATATGTTGGATGGGGTTATGGAGCATAAAAATGGTGGACAGAGATGAAGACACTTTTGGAGGGGTTGACTTTTTAAGCGAGGCAGCGTGATATCAAATCACGAAGCAAATGACGAAATGAACGGAAAGCCACAATATATTGTTGCCACTTTACCCACAATGCTTATGCTTTATTAATTATCTTATTAAATGATTGTGGTCGATCTCTCCATCAGCAATTTGATTGAACTCAGTGCGTTTTAACTGTAACCTAAGATATGGACCCCAAAGCAAACATGAAACCATACCAAGTGCCCTTCTTGCATATGCAATGGGTTAATTCAGTTGTTTCAATGGTAAGATACTACAGCACAACACAACATTCTTTTGCAGCCATCTTAGTGGAGCTAGCTAGGCTTTTAATGAAAACTCCTTTTCTTCTAACTCTATTAAAGCCCCACTCTCACTATAACAACATTTTATCTTCAAATGACGCCATCCAAATTCAAATATTCAATATATATGCTCTCCTTTCTCTCTCATTAATGAAAACTCCTTTTTCTTTCTATTTCTATTAAAGGAAAGATTTAAATAAATTTCTTAGATAAAGTTTGTAAAGTTTTTTATTAAAAATAATTAAATAAAAACTAAAATAAAATTAAGACATTAAAAGATTTTGTTATAAAAATCAAGTCTGCAAAATTTTTAAAAAATCTAATAAATATATATTTTTAAATAAATATTTTTAATAAAAATATTAACAAAATTTTTATCATTAAATAAATATGATAAATTTAAATTATAAATAATATTTTTAATAATTTTTTACATATTATTAATTTTCACATTAAATTTTACCGATATATTAATTTATATCTCTTATTAAAGCTCCACTCTCGCTATAATAACACCTTACCTTCAAATGACGCCATCCAAATTCAAATATATATATATTCTCTCATTTCTCTCTCATAAATACAATAATGGCTACTTTTTTAAGTGTTAATTAAATTATGACTTTTGTATTATCTTTTTCTAGAAGCATTAATTCCACTCTTAGACAAGTGCAAATACGATTCTACCCTTGGCTTAACACGATAGTTAATGGTCAAATTTATACGGGACATTCCCTGGAGACATAAGAAGTAATGACATTATCCATTAAAAAAAAAAAACAAAGAAGTAATGACATTAGAGACATTTCCCTGAAAATGTTATTTTCCTTTGCTCTTTGTTTTGGTACAATTAGACAAATTGGCATGATTAAGGAAGTGTCTATTACAAATCACAATCTACAAAGTATCATTGCTGCCATCACTCATCAGCAATTAAGTCAAGATGCTGGGATTTATAGTATAATTAAAATTAGGGCAAAAGAATATTGTCTTACAATCAAGTAAAATCAATTGTTCATTTTATGTCAGCTAGTGGCGACAGCAACGTCGGATTATATCCAAATCGATTTGTTCTTGGTTCCAACTTAAAACGAACCTGGGATTTGTCACTTTGATCCCATTTACATCTACTGATGTGGAGTTGACACTGGAAGCATCAATGCCTTTTGGATTAGCATGAATCTAGTTGGATTTTACAAATTAACAATTTGAATTCTAGACCTAAAATTCTCTAATTTTTAGAAGGGAAATAGTGAAATTTTGGGTCCTAAATGAAAAGTTCTATAGTTGAGACTTGAGAGAATTAAGATTTGTACTCCCTCTTTCTTTCTTTTTTTTTTCATATTTCTTTTTTGAAATGTTCTAAAATTATATATATTTTTAACATATAAAATTTTTATTTTTTATATTTTAAAATTATATTTTATGATTTTTTTATATTAAAAGTATGAAAATTTAATTTTAATATTAATTACATTAAGTCAAAACTTAATTAATATCGTTCAAACAATTTGAAACGAAAAGAATAATTTATTAAAAAATAATATATAGAATCATAACATTACTGTTTTTCTTTATTAAAAGGCGAAATTAGGCACTCTTTAAAGATTTGAAATGAAATAATAGAATCAGCATCCACAAGCTTTCACATCAGGATAGATAACACACTTTTTTAAGCTTGATGTACTATATTAAATCTTATATTGGCAAAAACCAAAACAAATTTATTCAGGGAAAATGTTAATGCCTAATATGCTATATTCCCATGACGCAGCTGCCATCGGTTGTTTTTGCGGACCCACACGAACAATGGGTCCCATAGTTCTGGGGCCTACCAGGACGCACCATGGTCTATTGGGGTCACTACCCCGATGCGGAGGATCTGCGCCAACAGCCAAGTGCACCCGGCCATCGCTATCAGACTACAGATAAAAAAGAAAAACAACTTAAACAGGGCCAAATCCGTGACCCTACTTATAAATAAGAGTCCTCACCTTCTCTGTTTCTCAGGTTCACACTCTTCACCTTGTTTTACTCTACCCAAACCAACCAACGACCATCTCCATTAACAACAAAATTAGAGTCTATACTCTTCAAAGAAACACCAAAATGAGACCTATTAGCAGCTTTAATACAATGAAAATAGCAACAGAACCCCCATTGTCACGGCCAGCAATGGCGCAACCGCGTTCTCCATGGCACTCTCCTGTGCCCTACCTCTTTGGAGGGCTAGCAGCGATGCTGGGCCTCATTGCTTTTGCTCTCTTGATCTTAGCTTGCTCCTACTGGCGACTTTCTGGTCGTTTGGACAACAACGGAGAAGGAGCTGATGCCGAAAGAGATGTTGAAACTGGTGGAAAAGAGGGTGATTTAAACAAGCTGGTCAAGGTTTTTGAGGAGAAGATTTTGGTGATAATGCCTGGTGAGAAGAAGCCTACGTATTTGGCTACCCCTGTATCCACTAAAGCTGCCTCTTTTGGTGATAAAAATGGTAAGTTTGGGGACGACGAAGGATCAGAGGAAGCTGAAAGTGGCGAGAAAGTGAAAGGAGAGATGGGTGATGATCATGAACAATTGCCAACAATAACAGAGAACTCGGAAAACCATAACAACCATGACAGCCAACAAACTCAAGACCAAAATTAAAACTGTGAGCTTAGCTCTTAGCTGCTTACCTTCTTTTTTCTTTTTTTTTCCTTTTCATTTTGGCTTCGCTTTGCAGAGAGTGAGAGTATTTTCTCTGTTTTCTTCTTCTTCCCTTTTTTGTTTGATGTTTTTTTTTTTTTGGGTCTTGCTTCTTGGTCCTGAGAGGTTGTTTTTGATATTCGGGAAATGTAAATTTTACTGAGAAGATAAATTAGACGTGAGAGAGTTTTCTTCCCAAATCCCAATTGATTACAGACAAATTCCAATTTTCCATAAACAAAGCAGGTTATAGTCTCTTGGGTCATCAAATTTTCAATGCATTTTAAAGTTGCCCTAACCAGCCATTTTTGCCTGACACCATAACAACAAAGGTAAATTAATATTACTGAACAATCAGAATGAACTTGGCTTGCCTGCCTGTTAAAACTACTTTCAGAAAGCAAACCCACGTCCCAAGTGGAGTGCTATTTTTACAGGCATAAATGGGGTTGAGAAACAAGAGCAAAAAGAACAATGCTTGCAATTGTTCTTTTTTAAACTCTCTAATTATTGCCCTGTTCTTGCACTTAATTCCACCGTTTTGAGCCGTTCGCTAGTACAAAGATATGATAAAAAAATTTGATGGAATAATTTTTTGTTTTATGAATTATCAATTTCAGTTCTAAAGTACTAATGGAGGAATAAAGGAAGGAAAGAAAATGACTAAAAGCACATATTCCTCGAAGAGATGTTTCTAGGCTCTAGCTAGTTTCCATGCTAGCAGGCAGCTGTCATCCGATAACTTGTGGGAAACGGCAGAAGCCGAGGGAAGGGCGAGGGTGCATTGATTGAGCATGGTAGTCAGAAGTTTCTCTATTTCTTAGGCAGCGAGCAGGGGACACGTATTGACCATTAATTGCTTACATTAAAAGCAAGCCTTAAGCAGTTGGGCTATCTGAACTACGCGGCGACGCGACGCCAGCATTGGTTCTTAAATTAAATTAATTCCAACTTTTTCTTTTTCCCTTATTTATTACTAGCAACGGTGGAGATATTTTAGTATGCTGTTCAGGAGAATGCAAAGTTCAAGGACAGCCTTTGTACAATGTCCGATCTTGAACTCTCTTGGAATTTGGAACTGCTATTTCAGAAAAAGGGAAAGAAGGAAGCTCTGAAGCTTGATAAATGAGACGAAAAGTCACTGATTTTGAGTAGTTTGCAGTTTAATAGTGGATGATTTTACTTGTTGAACACCCTTTTGGTATAAGAAAATCATGTTCTTAACTAGTAATAAGAAAATCAAATTGTTTGAATATCTCAAAATTTCATAATCTAATTGCTAAATAAAATTGGTGTCATAATAATAACAAGAAATCCCATTTCAGTGACAGAAAGATGCGCTTATGGTATTGTCCACTATCTGATCTAATGATCTAACAGCTAAGCAGACAACTTCATTAAGCAGGCCATAGTAGATGCAGTTTTCATCCAAATAGCAGTAAAAGCAAAGAATTCCATCTCTGTAGGATTATAATTCACAATACCAGGAAAAAAATGGAAAGCAAAAGGAAAATGTGACCAAATATGGACTAAGGAGCATGTATGCAAGGCAACCTTCTATCGATGCATCAGATTCATTTTGGACAGCATGTGGTTAGTTCCATCTGTTCTACACCTTCATTCCTGGCAACCATAGCCAACATTAGGCATACATTTTTGGAAAAAAAAAATCATGTGTGATTCCAATTCCCCAATCACTAAGATACAAAAAGGAAAATCCAAAGCATTCTTCGTACAAGGAAAGATTATAAATACTAATGAAAAAAATTTCTAACTTTAACCATTAAATTTATGATCAATGCTAGCGAAAGCAAAAATATAATTGTTTACGGGCATGATCATGTTGGGTTTAAGTTAGACTCATATTTAATAATAATAGTTTATATATTTGTTTAAGTATGATCTGATTTAAAATTTTGAATCTCAAAATTTTTTCAAATTTTGTCTAAATTAAAAATATAAATTTTAAGCTTATGCATTGAACTTAATTTATATAATAAAAAATAAAAAATAATTAAATTAAATTTAATAAAATTATATTTAATTCACGTATATATAAAAATTAAAAATAAAAATTAAGTTTAATAAAATATATATTTTTTATTTTTATATATATGTGATAGCTTTGATGTGCATTTACTGTTTGCAGCGGCTGAGTTTAATGTAGAAACTGTACAATCCAATTAACAATGTCAAGTTCCAAGTCTGGGATTTGGATAAGTTAACGTTAATATATCAGAAACATCGTAGCAACTGATAAATGTTGTTTTAGTAGTTATACGAATTAGCATTCAAGCTTGAGTAAAGCCCCCTTTAAAACCTTTCAGAAATTTCCCCTCGTAATTTATACTCATGGAGTTCAATTTAATTGATGGAACCATTGAAATTTGCCTTAATTCCTTTTACTTACAATTGAACCACTGAATTTCCCTATCTTGCGTTGGCGTAAAGCCCTTGGGAACTTTAGTTACAGTGCGAATAATATAGATTACATCAGCTGAAAATTTTCAGGCTTCATGTTTGCAAGTTGACAATTTACAAAGAAAGTATCTCGACTATTGAGTTTACACATGTATCTCGGTTTTGCTTATCAGTTTTGACTTGCGAGCTTACTATAGCCATTCATTTATTACCTTTCATATGCTTCAACTGTTTAGGTAGTTTGCTCTAGTATTTTACCATTTATTTTCTGTTCAATTAAACCATATTGTTGGTTTCATTAAATTTATTTTTTCTTTTTCACAGGTGGCCAAACATGTATCATGTAACTGTTTTCTAGCTTCATTTTCTCAATGAAACATCACAATATGTTTGGTGTAGATAGGATGTTCATTTGATTTGTAAAAGTAGCTTTAACTGTCTTGATATGTTCTTTAGCTGATGGAAATGTAACCTCTGAGCTACTTTGCTCCTTTTCTAAACTTCTTTCCTTTATGCTGGTATTTTGTGGTTTCTTGTGCTGCTCTTTAACTGAAACCATAAGGTGAAAAGTAAGAAGATTCATCATCTTTTCTTTTTGTTTCCTCATGAAGGAGTTGTGGTTTTTGTTTTATGAAATCTTTGATTTCCAATTTGTGGTTTTAGTGCTTTTATGGTGCAATTAGCATGCTATTTGACTTCTCCCCTCCTCCATCACTCTTCTTCTACTTTTCTTTTTGGGGTTGTTTTTCTGCGTTTTTTACAGGCCAAACTGGAGATGCTATTTCCCAAATACACAAGCAATAATTTATGTTGTTGATTCAAGTGACACTGATAGAATTGGAATAGCAAAACAAGAATTTCACGCCATTTTGGAGGTATTCTTATGGCTAGACTGGCTCATGTTGCACTCCAAATCCTGATTAATTCATTTTAAAGCATAATTTAGAATGTAGATTATATCATTAAACTCCTCAGCAGGAGGATGAGTTGAAAGGTGCAATAGCCCTAATTTTTGCAAGCAAGCAGGTGACACTTACACTATATCTCCTCTATACTCTAATACTTTCCAAAAGCTGGAAAAGTTGACATTGTGAAAGTATGACTATGGAGAGGACAAGATTCTCAAAACTTTGATCAAAATTTTTTCAATTTTAAACTCATTGTTCTAAATGAATAGGACTCACCTGGAATGCTTGATGCTGCTGCAGTGACTGAAGCTTTGTTATTGCACAAAATAAAAAATCGTCAGGGGGCAACCTTTAAAACTTGTGCAATAAAGGATAAGGCCTCGTTGAGGGCTTGGACTGGTAAGAACAGTTTGCTATTAACATGCTGGACATTTGGCATCTAGCCATATGAATATTTTTGTTTTATGGTTTTTGTTCCCTTATACAAAGCTTATCTCTGTTCTTATCTCTTGTCACAAAAGCTGTTTAATATCAGACTTAGGTTTTATGTTTGGGATGGAGGCTTGTAGAGCAAAAGCATTGACTTTACTAAGCTTCGTGCTTTTCTTTTCCCTTGGTTATGATAGTGTTGAAGGCATTGCCGAGTTAGGCTTCTGTTTTTGTGCTTATTCCCTGCTTGAAACTTCTAGGAATAACTGCAATAAGAACTAGGAAGACTCAAGGGAATTTAAAAGCAACATGAACAATAATCTAGACTGAAGATGTCAGAGATGGTTCATCAAACTAGCTAGATGTCAAGGGTTTACCTTCATGTTCTTATGGTCTTTAGAAATTTGTTTGAAATTGATGGATGGCATTGTTTGAAATTTGTTTTAGAAAAAAGAAGGGACAAGAAAGGGCTGTCCATCCCCCAACTCCATTTCAAGTCATCTTTAGCTTTAGCGAGATGATGGGCTCCCCTTTCAGCCTGTCATTTCTTTTTGATGGATCATTAATTTATAGGACTGTCCCTCTGGTAGTGGAAACTGGACAGCTTTTTACCACATTTCCGGGCCAAGCTCTACATCTTAAAAGCAGTCATACAAAACAATGAGGTGGAGTCTGACTCTTATGTGCATTTATCATCTGCAAAAGTGAGAATAGTCACTGAAAAGAGGTGGTGAGGATTATGTTTATGGTCGGTTAACATGGGGAAGGAAGAACTGAGTGCCTTCTGAACTACCAAAAGACAAAAGTCTTGTGTGGGACTGGGAAACTCACAAAAAGTTTCTTCACCTCTGGGATGATATTAACCCTTTACGAATACTGGGATGGTAAGCTTTGAGCCTGATAATTTAAATTTTACAACACCAAGTACTATTCTAACAGAAAATGATAAAAAAAAAAATTATGCATTGAAGGACATTTGTTTTTAAATTTTAATAAAAATATAAATTTTATGTTTTTCATATTCTTATTAATTATAATACATAATTTTTATATAAAATATTATTTAAAAATATGAATTTTTATATTTATGTCCATGAATTATCAGATATAATGAAATTAAAAAATAATTTCCAGGCTTTCTTTCAATTCAGTGTGCAAAACACGTGCTTCTTTTTTTTTTTCTTTTTCTATTCTATGTCTGTAATAATTTACTTTATGGGCGGTTCGAGGAATTTTACTCTCCATTTGATCAACAAACCTCACTTTTTTTTTTTGTGTGGCTTGTGTATGTAAATAATGAAATTAATTGATTGATTTGATTGGGACAATTATGGTCGGTAGTGGGATGGTGCTAGCCTCTCTTTTCTTTTCATTTTTGGCTAGTTGTTTTTTATATTTCCATCTGAATTTTAAACGTGGCTTTCCATTTCATTTATTATTCTAATTCTCACCCACTTTTTTATTTCGTAAGAAAGAGATAATCTAGGAATAAATGGATGGGGTGAAATAAAATTAAAATCCAAAGAAGCTGAAAATTTTAAAGAGCTTGCATTTTATTATAATTTTGATGAGATTACGATAGATGTAGGCTCAGCGCAGTGATTCAAGCAATAATACTCCAAGGATTGGTGTGGGTGGGGAGTTGTTTTCGAACTAATTAGAGTTGTCTATGTTTGGTCGTACGATCAAGAGACACGTATATGCCATATTTGTCATCACATGTAGAATTTCCTCGGCTATCATTCATTCTTTTGAGTATTTCTTATTATATCACTGGACTCCTCCCCACCTTCGTTGTTTGTCGTAGCTTAATAACCAGTTGAGTATATAAATTGGTGTTGTTTCTTTTCTTAGATAGTAAAGTAAGAAGTCTTCATTTTAAATTTGAATAAAAGGGAAAACCCAACCAATAGGTTTTTGTTTGTTGTTTTTTTAAGACAAATATCATTCACCAGCATCATGCTCAATTTTTTCAATACTAATAAATTTATTTGTCATTTTGTTTGATTATCTATGTATAAATGAAAATAACATGATTAAATTTAGGGGTGGAATTGCTATTAAAACAATGTGTGTTTGTGTGTTTTTCCTTGCAAATTAACTTTTAAAGTCAATCTGTATTTTCTTGTTTTTAAACATGTTATTTATCTAAGCAGCATGTAATATGCAAAATCATATGTTTTGTATAAAATATGCATGATCAATTCCAAATTGATTCGTGTAAGTGATATTTTGCATAACTCCATTATACATACTTCACAAAAAAAAAAAAGAGGGAATTTTTAAGTGTAGCATTGTAAATCAATTACATACTCCTTTAAGTTTCTGTGCAGCCCCAAATCGCGAAAACAGTCGTGTAACATTAGCTCAGCTCAACTCGGCTGTCCCGCTTCCCAAAGCCAAAATTAAAAAAAAAAAAAAAAAAAACTTTTTTTTTTTATCACAGTGTTCCCAGAAAGCATCATCCCTCCCGGCAAAGCTGCTCATATTGCCAATGCCCATATCCAAATCCAAATCCAAATCCAAATCCAAATGCAAGGCTACAGCTTTTAAAGCCAAGACTAGGCCTGGCTGTACGTCAACTGTGAACAGGCAGATCCCTCTTGATTCTCCGAATTGTAAGTGGGCCCCCCCACCAACTACTTCTCTCATTTGGTCTTCTCTCCAGTCTCCAGTCCATTATTACCAGCCCAATAAAACAAATAATAATAAGCTCCTTTGATTTCTTCTTTCTCTATTGGGCTCCACCTTCTCCTTGGCCCTCGTCCCTCCAATTTCAACCTGTAATAAAATCTGTGCAAACGTGATCAAAATACAATATCATTGGAGCATTTCAATTATAATTTTTTTTATTATAATTTTATAATTATTTAATTATAGTAAAAAATTATGTGAAAGTTTATTATTTATAAACATCGACTCTATATAATATTTTAATAATTTTATATATTTTTTAAAATTAAGTTAATTGTATTATAATTATTGAAGGTACTTTAAATCTTTTTATTGAGGCTAATCCTCTTCCACGTGTTTCTTTCCTATTGGAGATTCATAGATCTCCCCTGGCCCACTAGATAGACTTCTTAACATGCCTTTTCATCGACAACCTAGCGAAAGGCATCCCAATTCTCTTCACACGGCAAAATAAAACACACAAGTGGAACCAACCTGGTAGCCTGACAGACAAATAGAGAGAAAAAACCTTTTTTTTTTACCAGTGTTAGTTGTTAAAATGGCGTCGAAGTTGTGTGACTCGTGCAAATCTGCGACGGCGACTCTCTTCTGCCGGGCTGACTCGGCGTTTCTCTGCTCCAATTGTGACTCCAAAATCCACACGGCAAACAAGCTCGCCTCGCGTCACGCTCGGGTTTCGGTGTGTGAAGTCTGCGAGCAAGCGCCGGCTCACGTCACCTGCAAGGCTGATGCGGCGGCTCTCTGCATCACCTGCGACCGAGATATCCACTCCGCGAACCCTCTCGCGTGCCGACACGAGCGCGTCCCCGTGACCCCCTTCTATGACTCCGTTAACTCAGTTCATGCCGTTAACTTTCTGGACCAGCGTTACTTCTCGGATGTTGATGGAGACGCTGATGTCAGCAGGGAGGAAGCGGAGGCGGCGTCGTGGCTGCTTCCCAACCCTAACCATAAGGCTGTGGAGAGTCCGGACATGAACACGGGGCAGTGCGTGTTCTCGGAGATGGATCCGTATTTGGAACTGGATTATGGGCCTGTGGATCCGAAAATGGAAGCCCAAGAGCAGAACAGCTCTGGAACTGACGGGGTAGTCCCTGTCCAAAGCAAAAGCGTCCAAGCTCCGGTGATTAATGATCACTGCTTCGACTTGGACTTCACCCGATCCAAACCCTTAGCTTATGGCTACAACCCCCACTGTCTTAACCACAGTGTAAGAAAAGCATCTTTGAATTTTTTTTTTTTTGTTTCTTTGGACAATGAAAGTAGTAGGTTTTCATCTAATTAAAGTTTGACTTTTTGGGTTTGTTATTGTTTCGCAGGTATCATCTTCATCGTTGGATGTTGGGGTGGTGCCAGATGGAAGTGTGATGACGGACGTATCAAACCCGTACGGGGCAGGGACGGAGTCAAAGCATCAGACGATGCAGCTTTCGTCGGCGGACAGAGAAGCGAGGGTGCTGAGGTACAGAGAGAAGAGAAAGAACAGAAAATTCGAGAAGACGATACGTTATGCCTCCAGAAAGGCTTACGCTGAAATGCGGCCTAGGATTAAAGGCAGGTTCGCTAAGCGCACTGAGATCGAAGTTGAAGTGGATCGTAGTAACATATATGGATTCGGAGTCGTCCCGTCGTTTTAAAATTAACCTCTCCTGTCTGCAACCTAATCTCCTTCTGCTCTGCTGTGGTAATTGGAATTTTAATTTGCAAGCGTTCTACTTTGCTTTACTAGCAGTAAATGTTCATCTACCGAGGGTTTTGCGGGGGAAGGATTTTGGTTTTTAATGTGTTTTTTTAGCAGCTTCTTTAAATTAACGTATCTGTATATAAGTAGGTGATGAAGAAGGTGTTGTAATCCGACCAACAATGGTATCTGAACCATTGATTTTGTACAAGTTCTTACTTGCAGTAATCAGTGTTTCTTTTATCCTCTTGGCTTCTGTTATTAGGTTTTAAGCAAAAACAATACAATTTGTTAATGGATGGTGACGATGACGATTTGGTGTTTAGAAGTGAAGGGTTTTATTCTCAAATGTTGGGTAACTGGGGATTGGTATCAAAATCTGATACTCCATTGGACCATTGGTGTTCAATGGGATTCGGTGGACTATTAATTAAATAATTAAATCGTAATTAGGGGAGGTTAGTCAAAGTCAGTGCTTCATCTCTAAACCTTTTTTTTTTTTATTCCGAAAATTCTTCAGTTGGTATGGTTAGGCTTATCATAAACATCGGAAGTGCTGACTTTTTCAAACTCATGAATGCTTTGTTGCTTTTCCTGATAAAACTGATGAATGATGTCACAGGTTCATTAATTTGCCTGCTGCCAAGTGCCACTTCCCTCTCTCTCTCCTCTTTTACTTCCTTTATTTAAGTTCGGCAGGTGTTTTCCCTCATTTAAGAGAAAGGAAAATGCTAGCAAGTTAACGAGGAAAATAAGTTGTATTACACTTTTCATCCCATAAAAACAATCACTTCATGATTAAGTAGGAGAAAATGAAAGGGAAAGTACTCTATTTGATGATTGAATCAAAATTAATCATTTTATTTACTAGTATAATACTTTAACTATCAAATCCCAACCCTTTTCTTGTATTTTTTTATGCCATACGTCAGACTTTTTTTTTTCCCTTCTCGTTGCTTTCCTTCCTATCAAACCAAACAGTGCTAATGAAGTTATTTGTGAGGACCATGTTAATGGGGCTAATGCACTAGGTAAAGTTGGTTTTGATTCTTTTGAAGATTAAGATGTATGAAATGTGTGTATAAATAAATAAATATAATGAGAGGAACTTTGAGGGTGAAGACTGAGGAGACGTGGTGGAGAATGGAGATCGTGAGGCTGAGGGTGACTTCCACTTAACCATGTTTGATCTGACAGCTGAGCTTTCTTTTCGTAGTGGTCAATGCTCGCATTCGCATATCCAAATCTCTTCACGCTATTCCATTGGTGAATGTCATACCCTAACTTACTACATCCATCATCTCTTGGACCACTTTCACCCTATGTACGTTACTGGCTACTTGTTTTGTACAAGCTTATCTAAGGTTTCCATTCATTTTCCTTTTCATTTATTCAGTCCAGGGAATAAAAATTTGATCAAAGATGCTTGGCATGAATGGAAATAAAATCGTTTGAAAATGGATTTCTAAAGAAATACTGCCAGATTTTGGGTCTTTTTCTTGGTCAAATCATGCCAAATCGAAATTCCATGTAGCAATACTTACTAATTGTCAGAGTCACAGGTTGTCTACTTCGTAGCTACTAGTTGGGCTCAGCCCACTGATACGAAGAAAGATTTTAACCAACAACCATCTTCGCTTTGGACATTTCTATAACTGGCCCATTATCGGGCTGAGTAAACCCATTGTACAGGCCCAAATTGATTTGCCTATGCCATCATCATAATGGAAATAAAAATTTCAACTCCTAAGAAATTTTGATCAATTTCAGCTAATAGGTCGAAAAACGCATGCTGGTTTTTGGAGGATATTGGGTGCAATAGGCTATAGTCTTGGGTCTTGCCAAAATCTAATAATGAATAGGTTGGTTTAAAAAATGAAATAAGACAACTTTTACTTTTTTGAAACTGAAAGAAGATTATTACTGAGAGTAAAAAATGAACGAAGATTTAAGTGAAAATCGTAAATACCTAATACTATTGGTTTCATGAACTCAGACCTTTCAATTCTTTCTTCTCCAAACAATTCAAGTTCAATCCATTGCTATTTTATTTTTTTAGCAAGCCAACAAGATGGAAAACACACAAATGTATTCAAGTAATAGTGACTTGGTGAGAAGGGTGATTAATTTGATCAGTTTATTTGGACTTCTGTTTTCCTTTGTGACTTTATGGGTGTTCTCCTGTGGACGGTGTGTGGTAGGCTGCATTTGTCGCCGAAAGCACTGATGCGCATTGATGTTAGTTTGTAGTCCAAAATTAACTGGTATACCCATCGGTCTTGTTGAAGATTGTTTCAAACAACTTCCGTGCTCACAGGCTGACCTCGTAACTACAGCCGGTTAATGACATTAAAATTTGTCAAAAGAAACCGTACAATGGTGGAAAATTACAACGCAACTGCATCTACAAATGTAATGATCCCTTGTATAGCCAAGGCCAACCTGTAAAAGAAATCCTACTTTCTTTGATACGAGTATGATTGTAGGTTGACCCGTAGAGATCTTTCTTTGGTTGGCTCCAAAGAGATCTTGGTTCAATTATAGTGCTCCCCTCCTTACCATAGAAATCCAGGACCAAAACGTAGCTACTTGAGGGGTTTTTGTACACACTTGTACCGTTGATTGCTCAGATGAAACAGCCTTTTAAAATTGAACATTGTTATAATTGAAATTGAATTTCGTCCCAAGAGATTTAAAAAGCAGTTCCATGTTAACAGCAGATACAATCCGAAATTAGCATGTTAAGCTTTCGCTAGATATTTCTGCTGCTAGAAAATCAAAGCTGTCTGGTTCGTACAAAAAGGGGCATTCAAGAATCACGTCATCCACCATAGCCTCATTGGGTAGCATGTCGCCAGTCAAACTTCTTACTTACACCAACAATATTAAATGGATTGCTGAGAAAGTCTATGGATCAAGATAGGAACATCACAAACAACTACAAGAGAAGGACGTTTTGCTACATTTACAGCATACAGAAGTGGACTTAGTCTTGAGACTCATTACAAATTCACACGTGCATATCGGTTCCGACTATGTGCAAGACCGAAAGTGGAAAAGCTAAACTCGGATGCAGTTCTACTCTAGAGGCTGAAAAGATGAAAGAGACATCAGCAGCCTAACACATTTTTGTTCATGTTTCTATCCTTACACATTACCATACTGTTATGGTTTTCTATGACTAGCTGTTACTAATGAAGTTTGTTTCACCTCCCTTTTCTGTCAGCTAGAGAACCAAACCTAAAACGATGCTGGGAAGGGATGCTTAAGCAGAAACACTACGAGAGGAACCCCCTTGATTGGCCGCCGAAGAAACACTACGTGAGGAACCCCCTTGATTCGCCGCAGAAGAAACACTCCGTGAAGAACCCCCTTGATTGGCCAAGAAACGGACAACGACACAAGTGATATTATCTGCACTACCTCTCTGGTATGCCTCTTGCATAAGCCGCTTTGCTGCCTGCTCAGGATCCTGTATTGGCTTTATCATTGCGACAGCCTCCTGAAAATGGTAAAGCAGCAGTTATGGAGGTAGCTAAATTTGGTCATTTCTTCAATTAAATAGGTTAGGAGAATACTATGGTGTCATCCATGATCAAAACAAAAAGCTGCCAATTTTCGTCAAACTACTCTAAAGCTTGACAGAAACACTGTTGGATTCTAGGATGCCAGTAATATAGAGGCATTGAGTAAAAAAATTGCTTCATACCTCATTTGAAACAACGTCCCACAGTCCATCACTTGCAAGAATAAGGAACTCAAGAGAGTTGTCAATCTTTTCCTCCTGCAAGCTCAAAAAGGATAACGGAGCTACAAAATGCTAAAAAATCAATAGTACTAGTAGCAATGAAAATTTAATACTCATATAATCATCTCCCAAGTAGGGATCCTATAGAATTTTCAAGACATCAGGTAGAAATCTAACAAGCAATGCTACTCGCAAATTTTTCATGCTGGGTTTGTGCATTATGGGTTTCTATCTTAATAATGATGCACAATGACATCTACGAACACAGCATAATTGAATGAAGTCTTCCAAACAGACCTGAATTTCTGGATCAGCAACAACATACTGCTTCAAGAGCCTGTCGCCAAAAGCACGAGAAACAGCAAGAACACCTCCCACTCTCCAAGTTCCTACAGATATTATTTCAGTCATAATAGAAGGGAGAAATGTAACATGTCATAGTAAAGCTTAAACATAAGAAAAAAAAAAAAAGAAGGTAAGAGGGGAAAGAGAAATGGCTAGATGTAAACCCGCACCAGCCCACATGACAAATCCTCCTGCTTCCTCAATCCGTTGTCGCTCATCACTTTGATCTGGCTTATGATCGCGAGACACGGCAATAGCTGTAAGAAGAGATATCATAGATAAGCCATGTATAAATAATAAATTCAGCATTCAAAGGATCCTTTTACAAGATTTTCAAAAAACCTGACAAATTCACACTTACACCAAATGGGTTAGGGAGCAGTCACATAAGAATGCATTATGTTAACATGCTTGAAGTAAATACAAAAACATAAAGAAGCTTCAGTGAACTTTCATGTTACAGGTAAAGCTAAAGTAGTCAACTTCAAATGTGGTGTCAAAGATGAGATGAATATAAAGGAAAGAAAACAAAAATAAAAACGATGAATCTTACCATTTCCTCCTCTGCAGATAACAGCTCGGGAATCCCCAACATTTGCAACTAGTAAACGGTCACCAACAAGTATAGCCGTAGAAGCGGTTGAACCAGCATCCCTGTTCTGGTTATTTTCTGATTTTAAAAATTCAGAGTCTGTACGGTTGTATGCATCGGCTGGAGATTGGAAACAATTTAAAAGACAAGTTAGGGTGACAAATGACCAGCCCACTAGAGAAGACATAACTATATGATACAGTTATAAAGTGAATAACCTATAGCAGATTTGGTGTCAGATATGAACTTTGGATGGCTGATTAAATTACTGAAAAGGTTTTCCTTCACATATTCAGCTGCCCGTGCACCTCCATGACCTGAAACAACCATGCTTGTAAAGACCGAGTTAAACAATTTGTAACTACGCATAACTAGCCAACAACAGATTGGTTTTATGTTATTCACAGAAGATATGATTTTTAATGATGCATGGTAAAAGAAAATATTCTATGGCAGAGTATAATGATGCCCCAACCTGAGCCGATAACAGCCCTTTAGAAATGGCTTCGAATACTGCTACCAATTGAAGCAGATAACAAATAGCAGAATCTGCATGAAATCCTTTCAGATACATTCTCTACATTGACTATGGTGTATCATTATAAGTTGGTATATATTCTACTCTTATCGTTTGACAACCTTATTTACTTAAGCAGGGGGATTAGAGCGACATTAAGGAAAAAGGCTTACTTTCAAAACAGAAAAAAGATTATCAATGAAAAAGGCTACAGCAGAGGAAAACATTGATGAATCATACGCACTCTTTAAAACACATAATAATCACCATAGATGTTATGTCCATGCATATGTGCAAGAGTTAGAGACTGAAATATAGAGGGTAAGAGATTTACCATCAAAGACTCCAAAAAGACCAACTATCTCTCCATCAACACCATCAATCCTTGTTTCATAAAAATCTTCCATTGAAGACCTCTTCCCAGGAGAGCTTGCATAGCCATAGCTGAACTTTCCATTCTGACTGTTGCCAGAAAACATGGGACACTTGGATTTAGACATCAACCAAATTATTGCATTATTTAAGAAAAAGATGTAAACTCAAAACTATAGGCCTCTTATTATCATCAACTTTAAGCAAAACATATTTAAATAACTTTTAATCTAATAATTTCTGTGCTTAATCATCATTTCAAAATACATTTCTTCAGGCCTTTCTATTACTTAATTCATTCCAGACAAAGATTTAATAGAATTTAAATTTCCTATCTTTAAAAATAAAAAAGGCTTAAATCACGTAACAAAACCATGCAGTAAATTTTCAATGCAAGACATGCAACAACTTTAGGGCAAAGCCAGAAAGGTCGAAAATTGCCTTGCTGGAATTAAGAAAGACAGATCCTATGCAAAAAAGAAAGCAAAATAATAAGCTGTTCTCAACAGAGTAATACCAGCAACATGACAAAAAATGTCTTTAGTCCCGACCCATAAAGGATGGAACAAAGATGGGTTTACTTCATTCCTCACGATGAGGATTGAGAAATTATCACATTGCATGCATCGAAAACGACAAATTAAAGATTTTGTTGCAGGTTTCCCCACATTATGCAGTGACAAATCATTAAAAGGTAAAGATCCGTAAGAATTTAACACATGACAGGCCATTCCAAATTTGAGAATATACGACTGAACTTTCCAAATTTATGGAGGTTTAGTGTGCATTAATTGCAAAATTCATTTGTTTCCGTTCAAGCTATTTTCTTTTTTTTTGCTTTTGCTCAGAGATAATAATCGCCAGCCATCCACCCTATCTAATTGAGATGCATTCCAAGGTTTAACTTAAAGCGAACAATCCAAATAAGCAGAGATCTTTTGTCTAACAGGCAATTAAATAACAGATACATCATGAATTCCAAATAGTAAAGGAGATGTTTCAATTTCAAAGAAAAGTTAATATCATTAACAGATATTTTCAAAATCCATACAAAATGAACAACAACAAAATTCAGAATAAATGCGTAAAAATTAGACAAGACATGCAAACCAAAACACAAGATAAAAATGATGTTAAAACATATGGAATTTGAAAAAAAAAAAATTTGCAAGTTAAAAAAAAGTATCAATCCAAAGAAAATTTAGATCTAAGCAAAGAATGATGAAAAGAGAAGAAAAAGCAGGAACCTAAGGCCTCCGCCGCTAACCGGTCCATCTTCAGCATGAACCTGGCTTGAAGATTGCAAAACGGAATTCAGATATCCCATATTATTGCTTAAGCTTTGAAAATTTTCACGCCTTATCCCTTGTATCCAAATCAGGAAATAGCAAAAGCAAGTGTATTTGATAATTGATGATATTTTAGCTGATGAAAGATAACGAAAAAGCCCAATTTTGCATATGCTAATGAATCCAAATCAGTCCTCACGTTTCAAGGATCATCTCAAAACTCAGGGAATTATCAACTTAACCTGCAAAGAAATCAAAATTTCCAGATCCAATTTAAACCAATTTCAAATGCATAGATCGTAAGATCTCAATCTCATGCACAACATGCAATTAAAGCCTTAAATAAACATAATTAAATCATAATTAAAAAAAAACTGAAAGCGAACATATCCAATGTAATAAATAAGACTTGAAAATCAGTTGGTAAGAGCGAGATCATCATTAGGAACACTTAAAAACGAAGATGATGGAGGAGAGAGAGAAAAAGGTTACCTCAATGAAGGAGAAGGGAAAGGAAGGGAAAAGAAAGGAAAGGAAATGCCATAATAATAAGACTAAGGGAAGAAAAAGACGAGACTTACAAAGAGAAGAGAGAGAAAGCTATTTCTACTAAAACCAGAGGCTTCGTTTCTGTTTCGTCTTTGGTTTCAGTTCCGTTTTTGGTTTGTTGAAAGCACCTCAATTAAAAACCCAAAATAAAATTAAAAATTAAAAAACAAATGATATTTTTAAGAAAAAAAAAAAAGGGTAAATAAAAGGATGATGCTAAAAATAGGGGAAGGTGTTTGGTTCATACGCGTCGCCGTAGAGAGAGCCGAGAGGCAAGCTAACGATACGACTAAGTCAACAAAGTCGTCCTATTAGGTTGTTGACCATACACGTGGCCCACATGCAGACCAAGATGTACAACCCGTCGTTTTATGTGAGTCTACGGTAATTTTGCTCTTACCACTTTTACGATTTTCTTTTTTTTTTTTTTTTTTTTTTAAGGCAGAGAAAATTCTTCCTTTTGAAGTAAGTAGAAAGTTAACATCAATGAGTGATTTAATGATTTGTTGACTTATTAGAAAACAATTTTATTTTAGAGGATTATTAAAGGATGAAAGAATTTGTGAAGAAAATTATTTATGAATGATAAAGATGTGGGATTGCTTAGGATAAGAAATTTCAGGCCACCGGATTGCATTCATTCGACACCCATTATCTTAGAATTAACATTACCAATTTATATATCGTAGTTTGAAAATGAAGCATGTTACGTAAAAGAAATTGAATTAAACATGTAACAGGTATAGCATATTTGTTTTATGATTGATTCGGTTGTCTCCTGGACAGCTAACTACAAAATATTTTTCTTGACAAAAAAATTTACTATATGTTTTGACGAGTTCAATGCTTCTGACCGGTTTCAGGTGTTGATATGCAGTAATTTTGAAAGTTTGATTGTTAAGGGCCGGAGATGTTTTTGTTTTTAGTATTTCTGAAAATTACAAATAAAATTATGTTTGATGGGTTATTTTTGTTTTAAAAATTATTAAAACTGATATTTTTAATATTTTAAAAATATTTTAATCACTGTTACCACACGGGTAAACAGTTCCCATTAGTGAACAGTATCAATTTTAATGTCAAAATATTGAAAGATGACTGTCAAAACTGCCAAAATATTAGTTCAAACTCCTATCAATTTCTTAACTCATGCTTGTAACCACTTCACGATACCTTATTTTAAGATTTTTGTAATAAAAATATAATTTTCAAATATGTTTTCAATTTTAATAAAATGAAAATGTAAAATAAAATAAAAATATTTAAAAACATAGAACTTGCAATAATACCGAACAACCCCTATGTTGTTCTTATAATTTTAAAAAATGATCAGACAAGCATTTATTTTGTCAACATTTAATTACCTTCTCATGTTTATTTGATCTACCAAGGCAAACAGTTCGTAAATACTGCACGGATCCTTAAACTGTTCAGTCTAGTTGATAATAGCACTCATTAAGATGATAAAAAAAAAATTATTTTGGGAAAGGTCAATATCAATGCTATATATAGGTTTATCCATTTTTGTACGAAAACGATTATAATAAATTGATAATATCTTTTCTTTCTTTATTTATTTGTTTAGAAATCAATCCAAATACATGTGAACAAAGGCGTTGTTAATTGTTAATTTGCTATACATTTAAAAACAATCTATTGCTTACAAATTTGGGATCTTATCAATCATCAATAATATAAAGGCAGGCTAGGGTTGCTGTTACTTGTCTTCATATTTATAATTGAGATTTGATTAAACTAATAATTGTGGTGTCAAATCTTGCTAACACATCTTATTATTCTTAATTTCTTGAATTCATTTTTTTTTAATTAAAAAACGTAACATAAGAATAGAAAAAAAAATTAAAACAAATAAATTAAAATCAAAGATTTAATTTCTTGAATTCCATTTCCTTTGCATCAAATCATTGGAATTGTAGCATGCGAGTAAGACATGTCATTCGTCGTAATAAATGAGATTCAATTTGAGCCTTTGGTTCCCGTTGATATCGAACCCTTTTCTTTGCGTTTCTATAAGGAAGACCGCATCAGCTGCCAAATGGCAATGATATAAGGGAGGGTTGGGGGCTTACGCCTTAATAAATTATTGGAAGGGGTTGATACTTAATACACCTAATCACAACATAGATTAATATTAATCATTCAGATCGCAGCGCAAAAATTCTGGGCCCAAACAAATATTTCTGCTACAAAACTCATAAAAGTAGTATAGATTATCTAATATGATCGTTAGGTCCATGGTTTTTGCCAAACTCGTGAATTAGTCTAGACATACAAACCCAAAAAGTATCTGAAAATTTGTTGTTAAGGTGCAAGAACAAGGCGGATATGATGTCTAGAGAAAAGCTAAGGGTTTCTGGCTTCATCGCAATGCGGATGAACATTGCTGTCCATTCCTCTGGGGCCAACTTCACTGCTTGATGGAGTGAGCGAAACCCATTAACAACTCTTGTGATAATTGCATGATCCTGCAAAATTAAAGAAAAGACGTAAGAAAAGAAACCATCCCAAGCATTATTCAAAGATAATTTGCTTCCTTCCTCGCCCCCTGCAACGATTGATGATTAAGAACTGCAACAAGAAATGCTAATTTAAAATAAAAAAAAAAAAGCAAATTTGCATATTCATTCATCGAGTGAATTAGTGACATGCGCTAGACAACCAATGGCCGATAAACTGATAATCACCGTAACTACAAACGACATGACATGGGCAAATATAAGCTTCTTTAAGCAGGTTCATGATAAAGAATACTGCTTTTAAGTTTATTAATCAAGAAGGCATCACAAACCTCAGATTGTGAAGTTTTCCTTGCTTTACTTCTCGCATCTAGCCTACAACCCAAAATTTCATCCTGTAGAAAAATATCAGTGGCTCTAATTATATCGCGCAGGAGGAAAACCCGCACCATTAGACCCTTTTCAGATAGAATGAAAAGTAAAAGATCTTCTGTGGCAGCAACAACAGCATGCATATCAAATGACCTCCATTCTAAGGGATGCGAACCATTTTCTTCAGAGTTAGGAGACTCCTTGGATGATTCAGAAGACTGTTCTGATATTGCTGCTACCTGATACAAGATGAACAGCATTCATGAAGGGAATGAGGCAAAATAGGGAACTAAAAACAGACAATTGTCTTTATATAATACTAGCAGATTAAATTTCAACAGAAATATGAATTAACAAAGAGAGAAGGCCTACCAAGCGCTCTAGGCGGTTCCACCTAATGGATCCATTATTACGGATGAGAAGTTCCCTTAAAATTTTTCTCATATCAGGATTTGGATCTTCCAAAAGCCTCCCAATCACAAAAGGGTATGCACTCTCAACAACTTTGAAATCAGGATCAAGAGCTTTAGCTGTTCCTTCCAGTGAACCAAGAGCTCTTACCACTAGAGCATAGTCCGGGGGGAGAGAGAAATTAAAATCGTACATGACATCATATAACTGGTTCATTATACTCTGAAATCCAAAGCAATAAAAAGAAATTACAGTTTTCATGCTTTTACTTTTGAAATTATTAAAGACAGAATTTAAAACAAGTGAACATCAAAAATAAAGTCTCAAAGGAGCTATCATGCCGATTTTTCAGGTATAAACAGATACTAACACACATGTACACTTTAAAGAGATTAATAACTCAGCTAAATCTCTTTCTCTAAACTAATTGTAGGAATGTAGAAACATTATTTTATGCTTCACCATAAGACATTACAAATGGATACTTGCTATAATTAAGCAACACAACAAGGTAATTACGTTTAAGAAGCAGCTTACAATCTTTGATACAAATCTCTCTCCGCAACCGTCAATTTTCCCTCATTAAATTTAAAAATAACAAGAACAATTTAAACAGAAAACTTGTAGAATTACTCAATCTATCGCAGAGATGGTACTTTGAAGTGCTTATCACGCATATTTGTGCTCAAAAGAATTAAAAAGATAAAGACAGCAAACCAATCTGAAATAAGGTACAAGCAAAAACCTGGAAGTCTTGAGATTGTCGAGTCCCATCCCCAAAAGATGCCTGCAATGCATCTGCCACAGATTGTATATCAACTCCTTCAGGAATAAATCCCAAAGATAGAAAGTCATTTGCCAATCCCAGAGAGTCACGGTTAACAAAGTGCACAAGCTGAAAGAGGCAAGAACTTATCAACACAAACACAACCTCAGGTAAATAACCATCAAAACTCAGCATAATCATTCATAAGAGACGAGATGAAGATGCATACAATAACAAATATGATAAAAGTATCAAAGATGCAAAAGGAGGATTTTGACATGCACGTGGAATGGTAACCAGGTAAAGATTATTCAGACTTCTAGAGCTTAGATTTATAGTTAACTATAATTTTTCCAAGGATAACTATTACTTTTATCTGTTCCATTTTTTCCACTACTACATGAATAAAATACCCGGTTTACTTGCACATGCCCGTTGTAGTTGAGTAATCTTCAATAATGACAACCTTCTCTGCTCAAGAGTTAGAAAAAGATAAATTGCAGTTTTGAAATATTATTACCTTCATGCAAGCTTATGCACTAATTGCTGTTCAATGGTGCATGTAATCTTAGTGTATCCAGAACAACCATATTTTGAATACTAACCGGATGCATATAACACCTGTCATGACTACACATGGTGAAATTTAAAGCAGTGGCCCAGTGTAATTATAAATAGAACAGCTCTTACCACTTGAATAAGTCCTACACGGTAATGGCGAGGGATATCCCCCATCATTCCAAAGTCAAAATATGCAAGGGAGCCACTGCTAGTAGCAACAAGGTTTCCTGGATGTGGGTCAGCATGGAAAAAACCCACCTCAAGCAATTGTCTCAAAGAGCAGTATACTCCCTAACAACCCATCAAAGGAGGATAAAGTCATATAAACATGCAGCCAAAAAAACAAAAGTCAGATAAACACAGTTAGACAATATATCAGGTGCAAAAGTAACAGCTAGTGTATGGCCAAAAGCTTCAAATAAAACACTGAAATTACTTGACCTGGTCAATCAGCTCCCTGTGGTTTAGACATGCCTTCTTTAGGGCAGTTTCATCTGTAAGCTTAATTCCATCTACCCATTCCATAGTAAGCACAGCTTTTCGTGTCAGGTCCCAATATATTTTTGGCACTTTTATTCCCTTTGCATTTTTGTTTTTGATGGTATTCTCATCTTTCGCATTTTGATTACAAGGTTGGTCCTTACCTGTAATCATCATAAGGAATTTGTATGAATATGAGTATCAATTCTTGAGGAAAAAGGGCACCAAAAAATTAAAAAAACAGCATCATATTCAACAGCATGCAGTGGCAACGGTTTGATGTACAGAAGGATATCACATAACATCAATTTTCCCCACTATAAACTACACTCCCAACATCTACCTTAAAATTTTTCTTTCCTTTAATGTGAAGCTGTCCAATATCAAACTCAAAGTTAAACTCCTCAGAATACTATACCAAGCAAGAAAATTATAGCAACCCCACAAGAAAATGACACATCAAAGATGATGCCAGTTATTGTACAGGTCCCCTTTAATATTTCTACTCTTGAAGAAGCATAACCAATTGAATAATCCCATATCAATTGGTAACCTTGAAATTACTTAATATGGACTTTAGGATCCATAAGCAATTATAAAATACTTACTAGGATAGTCACCATAAAGAGAGGCGAAGCGTTCAGCATTTCTTGCCTCCAAGATGTAATCAATTTCATCAAACATGTGCCTTACCTGTTCATTTAAAAGAAGACCTGAAGATGTCCATAAGCATGTACCATCTCATCAATGAAAAGATGAAGGTACAAATGCAGGTACCATACAAAAACAATGCGAAAATGAATAAAATAAGCTGCATTATACACAAAATAGCAAGAATCACAGACTCCAAATAGTAAGCACATCCTTAAGCAAAGATCAAATTCTGAGCATATCATTTACAAATGCATATATAATAACTGACTACAGAAATGTGTATAACATAACACTTGAAACATGGAAGACTCACCATTTCATTTACGGCTACTAACAGATCTTTGCGGGCTTTTGCAAACCGCTTTAATTGGCCCCCAATCATATGGAATAACAAGGCATCAAGGGTCAACAAGAGTGACATACCAGGCCTCTGTACTTTAACAGCTACAAGTTCTCCAGAATGAAGATGAGCTGCAAGACTTAATGCAGTGAAGCACACATTCAGCTTTAGTATTATCCAAAATATAGACCTTTAATAGATGCTATATTGAAAGTTGGAATGTTTTTGAGATGAGAAAATAATATGAGGGGAAAAAAGGAACAGGCATATTGTTTTCCCCTCCAGAGAAATGGTTGTCTGACCTTTATACACCTGTCCTAAGGATGCTGCTGCAATAGGCTCTGGGCTTATATCGGAAAAAATTTCTGAAACTGGAAGACCCAGTTCAGTTTCAATAGATTTTATGGCAATATGGGTGGGAAATGGGGGAATTTGGTCCTGGCATTAACAGAAAAGCTTCAAATCAGAAAGAAAATTAAAGAACAAAGATCAATGTCAATTAGCCACAAATCTCGATAATATGACCCATAAATGTATGCCTATGGTTGAAGATATGGTTGTGTACCTGTAACTTGGCAAGCTCTTGGCAATACACAGGTGGCAATATATCTGGTCTAGTGCTCAGAGCCTGCCCAAGCTGTATACACAAATAAAAGAAGGCCAAAATTATAAGTTTTACCTAGGAGGATCGACAAGAAGAAAATAGGTAAGAAATTTTTTTCCTTTTTTTTTCTACTTGATATTTTCTTCCTCAAGTAAAATGCGAAAAGTTTGCTTGGATACAAAAGCAAACAACAGAACAAATATAACCATGAGTGTCTATACCCTAACGTCTATGAGCGACCATCAGATCTTCAAACTTCCTATCAAAAGTTGTCATCAATTTTCAGAGTTCAGATCCATAATAGAAAATTTAATGCATATGGTTACAAGTTACAAAAAAAAAAAGGCAGAAGTGAACGGTTACGTTTGCCAAATTTTGTAAAACTCTGGTAAAGAGAAACTACAGCAAACAAAGCCCAATAAGCAACTTAACAAAAGAGTTATAAAGAAAGATAAAGTAACTTGCCTTAACATAGAAAGGACCCAACCGAATCAGTGTCTCACGAAACTGAAATAGAGTAAAAATTGCAATAAACTCGTTAGTGACCAAAAAATAAGAAAGCTTAGTCATAAGAAAGAGATGACAGTTTCAGCAAAAGCTTTGAGCCAAATAACATGAAATTGCAACATTCAAAACATGTAAACTTGTAGTATAAAGTTAGCCAAATTGTGCCAAGGGCCAGTACTTTAGTATGCTCTTATATTGGCTGAATATAGAACCAATTCAAGTTATTCAAAAGAACATATTTAAGAATAAAATTCCGTTGTCTACCTTGGAAGCGCGCTCTTTTATGTCTCGAAAAACGAATTGCCAAATGGTCAACTTCAATACATGAAATGAAATGATTGCAGCTCTATACAAAGCCAAAAACGGGCCAAATCGGTAGAAAACAGAAATACTTTTTGAGCTGTGTGTTCCAACTATATGACCGAATTCACTTTCCAATGATTCTTTCCTCAACTTTGCATACTCTGCAGAAGGCCGCCCCCCATGCACACTGATGAAACCTGTAGAAAACCTGCACTAAAAGCTTTACAGGGTAAGTGCAATAAACACAAATATTAGAGAAGCTCCAAATTTACCATGCCAATTTATTTGTTAGTACTTATTTAACCCAATTCCTAGCATCAAAGATAAGTGGTAGATATCCATGCACTTACCAATATCGTTTCAACAAGTATGCAGGATGCCAAGTATCCTGTGTTCTCGCAATTCCAATATCCATCTGAACTTCCAGAGAAATAGAATGACGCATCATGGTGCCAACAACTCTACCATGGTGTACTGCTGCAAGAAGTGTGAGTAATCAACTAACATAAACAGTAACATTCAAATCACACTCAGGGTCGCCAAAAAAAAAAAAAAGAAAATTACCAAATAAACAAACGAAGGTAAAATATCCTCTTTATTCCAGATAGCAACATAAATGATCCAATCAAATATTACACTAGTGGGAAGTTCAAAGCTTTACAATCCCAAAACTTACCATAACACATGGCTAAAAGGGTTTTTTTCCCAGGAACAAAAATACCATAATAATACTAACATCAAAGGAAATGAAGCTCAGTGCAGCAATTGCAAATCAAATTGTTATTGATATCAAAATTGAGAGATAATGAGCGGAGACGGAAAAAGAAAGACCAGTAAAAAGGAAGAATGGTACCAGTGGAGAGCAATGTGACACGGCGATGACGGTTGAGGGTGGCGAAGACATTCCTCATTGGGCGAATCATACAAAGCAGTGCGAAAGAGGTCACGCACCCATGTAAGCTTAACTTGTACTGACAAATCGTTTGTGAAAATGCGTCTTTGAATTAACGTTGTGATCGGGTCAGGCTTGCGGAACAGCTTTTGCTTCCGACTGCAGAGATTTTGCCACGTTATATGTCTACATGGCGCTTCCACCATTCAGCAACCGCCTCTCTCAAGTCTATCAGTCGACACTCGACACTCTCTACTTTCTCCGTTTAATGGATCAGACTCAGAGAAAGGTCGGCCCAACTTCCATTTAATGGATTCAGATTCTGCTGGATTGAGTTTGAGAACGTGATTGGCGGCCCACTGATGATACAATTGTATTTTTTATCCTTTTAATTGAAAAAAAGCTTTTTTTACAGTGTTATTAATTTTAGCATTGCTTAGTTTAGTTGTAAATTATTGATTTTCTTATAAAATAAAAAGGTAAGCACGTATTTATCACTTTTATAAATAAATACCTATTGATATTTTTTTCTAAAAGAAAAAAGAAAAGAAAAAGAAAATTTTGTCTGCGTAGGAGAAATTGTTGGTAGGCCGAATTCCAAAAGCTCTAATCGGGCCCGATCCAGATTGAAGGAACCCAGTCGCCCACCCACCCGATCAGCTGAACTTAGTGGTTCGCTGCGTCTTAGGCTCATTGCCACAGCACAGAAATTCGAAAACCCTGGCTTTAGGGCTTATCAGAAAGATCCTCCCTCTAAATTTTCCGGTCTCAACAAGTGAAATGGCCAAGGAAGCGCAATCTTTGCGCCCATGGTTTCTGGATTTAGTACCATTGTTGGTTGTTCTCTTGATAGCTGCTCATATCTTCGCTTTGGCAAGTCTTAGCTCTTCACATTTGACCCTATCTTTTTCTTTCTAATTGGCATCGTATTGTTTGCACATTAGGTGTTTGATTCATTGTTTTAATTGTTTTATAGGTTTACTGGATTTTCAGACTAGCTTCTGACAAACAGCCCCAAAGAAGAAAGGCACACTAAGCTACATTATATTGGAAATTTGAAAAAATATTAGGTTTGTGAAACTGCTTTTGGTTTGTGCTTTTAATTCATTTTCTCTTATTGATTCCTTGATGTTTAGCAAATTATGGTTAGTGGGAAATCTATTGTAATTATTCATTGCATTTGGAATAGAAAATTCATTGTGCTTCCAAATCTGGAGAAGTGTGGATAGATTGCTATTGAACCTTTGATATAAAAAGTTCAAGCTTTGTTATCCAGCTGTCTTTCGTTTTGACAATTCTTGATATATTCATAAATATAACTTAGATTTGCTCACTTTAGTTGAAGTCATATTAAACCCTCCACCCTGACCTTATTCATTTCTAATGTATGTTCTTGTTGTGAAATGGGAAGAGCTAGAAAAGTAGACATACTATCTATATTCTATACTCCTTTTGGTTCAACAAATTAGTGTTTTCATTTGCCTTCCTATTGTTTTGGATCTGAATAAATGATGACAACTTGGCTTATAATTTGTTTAGAATTGTGGTCATAAGTCTTGAATATTTTTATTCAGAGGTTTAATTTCATTTTGCAACACCAGAAGGGTTGAATTGTTGGGCATTATAGACTAGCATGTGGATACGAAATACTTCTAGGATGATTTTTGTGGTATCTCAATTGCCTTTGCCTAAAATTCCTGGGAGTTTTTAAGTTGTGCTCAAATACAATGTATATCTTGATTCAGCAAATAAATAGTGTTATCCAGAAATGCTGGAGATGATCTTTTCTAATGGCCTAGTTAAATAGGAACGCTAGCCAAAAGTGTCCAAAGGTTTAGTGCTTGATCTGGATGGTTATCATTCCTCATCAAGAAAACCATTGAATACAACCTTTAGTGCATGATGGGATAAAAGTCAGTTCCATTGTTAGGAAAACTTGATGTCCATAGTTTTACTTATAATCATGACCTTTTCCAGCAAAAGCTGACTATTGGATTTATGATGACTTGAATGATGCTTTTACACATCATTTAACCCTGCTGACTTGGTTAGATATGGACTAGTAGACAGAAAATTTTATGAATTGATTTGCAAGTACTTGAGGAGTTGTGGAACAGGGGAAGATCTTGTTGCAAAATATTAGAAGCTGTTCTTAAAGCAAACTAGCATATACACGTTACCCTTGTTTGGAGAGAGTAAGAATATAAAAGCAGGAAACTTTTTATCTTAATTGGGTCCATTCCATAGATACAGTAAATTATATAGATCTGCATCCATTTGTCAATGCAGATTCTCATTTTTACCATATTGCCTTTTGTTGAAGTTGGTTGTAGCTCTCCAGTTAGCTAGTTTCCTGCTCTTTCTAGTTGTGGTTGATTCTAGTCTCTCCCTTTGTTTTATATTCTGTAGAAACAAAACTACCTATATCTTTTTTCTTTCGCAGGAGGTTCTTTATGCTGGATTTGATTCTATGTAGAGACAGAGGTTTATAAAAGATTATAAGAAGTTTTGTGAATCTATCATGTGACACATGTTCTGTTGAACATTAGATTTGTTTCCTAGTCCATGTTTGCACATTGTTGTTCTAAATGTTGTTGACTTTGCCATTTTGCTTACCCTCTTGAGTTGGATTATCTTTGCTACCTTGTAAGATGTCAGTGTTCATGCTGTCACTGGTGTTCATTTCATTAGCCAAGGGACATGATTGCTGGATTTCTAACCTCTCTTGTTTTGCAATACTATCTTCAACAACATGTTTACTTATATATCATTTTTTTTTTACCAATTAAAGTATAACAATTCTCGTGATTTTATGTTATAATGGATACATTGATTGTTATCTGTTTCATACACAGGCAATAAGTCTTCTGTGATTGCTGTGATTTTGTTGTCGAATAGAGAATAAATGGTTTTTTCAAGAAAAAACAAAGGATAAAAATTACAAACCATCTCCTCTTCCCCCCTCCCTTTCTTTCCCATTGAGCAAATCTTCAATCTTCATGTTTAGTTGAGAAGTCCTCATAAAGAAAACGAAATCAACTAAGGCGAGACGTGATGTAATCAGTGAAATTCTAAGCTGATGTCTGCGGTATATTTTTCTAGTCAGTCTTATTTGCCAAAAAGAGAGGTGAATATATTCATGTTCACTCTTTCAAAATCAGCCCATCCCGAAAACCAGCAAATTTGGTCCAAAAATCTTGGTGTGGAAAAGATACGTTGTTGATAGAAATATTTTCAGAATTAACTGCCACTTTGCTCTAACTTTCCACGCGCACCCTCTCAAAAATGAAACCACATTTGTCTCTTTGGATATTACCCCATGCCTTGAACACGTCGAGAAACATTCGGCAAGGAAGCAAGTCATAACTGCTCGATTTCATTATCTAGTAATGTTTAATTTTCGTCGTGTTTACCAGGACAAAAGTTACTAACACGTAAATATCATTTTTTTAAAAAAAGCCATTTGAGGCAGCGTGGCATCCAATTTACAATCAGAAAGATACAAAAGCAAAAGTTATGATTATCGTGCAAAGCTCTATCATCCAACCAATTCTATCATGAGCTCGTGCAAAGCTTGTAACAAACTAATAATAATGGTGAATCGGTGATAGCCGTGAATGAGTCGTTTATTAGTATCATTTCAGAATCCACTGATCAAAATCACACCTTTATTCGGTTGACATGAGTGGTTGACACATGATGCCACGTTTCGTGAATCTACTCGCTTCTCTTTGCTTCTCTTCTCTGACCGAATTATATCTCTCCTCTGGCGTCATCATCAATGTCTTTAAGTCAATTATTTCCCACGTGTCACATCTCAGACGTCAAATCAATAAGTCAATAACACCGTCAAGTTTATCATCCCGAGCTTACTTTTTAATTCTTCCTAAACTATTGTTATTGAATTACCTAATTGCCATTCTCCTTTCTTTTTTCCAATGAGTTCATTTTGATTTTAATCTTGAGTAATCGAGTTACCTACTCTTACCTCTTGAGTAGAAGGATCATATCCCTTTAATCATTTTAATTAATTTGGTTAAAGAATCACTTAATTGAGTTGCCTACTTCTACCTCTTCAGTGCCAAACCCATATATGGTTATACCATCAACAGTAATAATGACTTAATTTAAAAATAAATTATTAAAAGATAAGATCAAAAAAAAATTATAATCCCACCAATTTATCTTTTTAACTATAGAATGATAATTTTGATAAAGTAATAAATGGTTTTTATGTCATTAATTACAAAATCAAAATTCCATATCTCTCTTTGCATGCTTAATTGGAAACTATTTACTAAAAAAAAAAAAAAACTAAAAATTATACCATAATATTTAGATATATTTTATTCCGTATTCATTCTTCTACCTAATTAAGAAAATTTTCAGTGAAAAGAAAAAGAAATTGTCAAGTTTAATGTGAATTTCGGAAAAAGTCAAGTTGCGTTTGACTTAAACACCGAGGGGATCAAAATTTCGGCCGGTGTTCCTATATTAAACTTGCTTAATTACTCTACAAATTACAAAAATCAAAGATTATAACATAGTCCACTGGAAAGTATAGTGGCTCTGTCGTAGTTTCGTGGAAATTCAGGGGCACCTTTCATTCACTCCCATCGCTCGCTTCCCCTCAACCACTATCTTCTCACCATATATTCTACGAAGTACACCAAACTTCTGTCTTTGCTTGGTTTTGCCTTCCTATTAAAAGGGCGGAGAACAACGAGAAGAGGATCTAAGAAAAAAAGAGTAAAGAGAAGGTAATATCATGTGTCCGACAAAGCAAAAACAACGGGGTTCCGCGGCGGAATCCGCCAGCAAATACTCTAGACCCGGTTCGATAGCTACTACCACATCAATCCCCGATTGGATCGCTGAGTCAATCAACGGCGGATCCTTGCGACACGTCGACCTTGATAATGGAACCAACGGTTGGGCATCACCTCCCGGTGATCTTTTCTCTCTCCGTTCTAAAAACTACCTGACAAATCGACAAAAATCCCCCTCTGGCGAGTATCTACTCTCTCCTCTAGGTATGGACTGGCTCAAGTCCACTTCCAAGCTCGACAACGTACTCGCCCGTTCCGACAACCGTGTTTCCCACGCTCTAAAACAAGCTCAATCCCAAGGAAAATCCAAGAAAAGTTTCATTTTTGCCGTCAATCTCCAGGTCCCAGGTAAAGATCATTATAGTGCTGTTTTTTATTTCGCCACAGAGGATCCTATCGCACCCGGTTCGTTACTTTACCGTTTCATCAACGGCGACGATGCCTTCAGGAACCAACGGTTCAAGATCGTTAACCGGATCGTCAAAGGACCATGGATCGTCAAAAAAGCGGTGGGCAATTACGCGGCGTGCTTGTTAGGTAAAGCTTTGACGTGTAATTATCATAGAGGAGCTAATTACTTGGAAATTGACGTAGATATTGCGAGCTCGGCAATTGCTAATGCGATTTTGCACATCGCATTGGGATACGTGACGAGCGTAACAATCGATATGGGATTTTTGGTGGAAGGGCAGATGGAGGATGAGTTGCCGGAAAAGTTGATCGGTGCCGTTAGGGTTTGCCAGATGGAAATGTCTTCGGCTGCTGTGATTGACGCGCATATGCCACCGATTCAGACAGCTGCGGCGCGTGGAATGGGTTGTTCTAAGGTTAATCACCATAAGTACGGTGACGGTGATGGTGATGATAATGACAAATGAGGTAACGGAGATTTATCTTAAAACCTTATTTTTTTTACAAATTTAAATTTAATCTTTTCTTTTTTTATTATGTGAATTGGAGTCCCTTTTTGGAGGGGATTGAAGGGTTGTAGATAATAAAAAGGATAATAACGAATAAACGTTTTCCATTTATTTTCTCCGTTATGCCATGTTTTTTTTTCCTTTGATTTTCATTTTTCTGTAATGGGGAGGGACGAAAGGGAATGATGGAAAAATGAAAAATGAAATGAAGTGATGTTTGGGTGTCATTGTTGCGTTGGCGTTGCTTTTGGGCAATTGTTTTTCGTTGCTTTGTAGCATGGATGGAGATTTGACATTTGGGTTGTTAGGGTTTGGCCAGGACGACTGCGGTGGGGGCGTGGGGATGGGGTCCCTTCTTTTGTCACCGCCGGCTACTGTTTAGATTTTTGTGGTGAAAGATTTGTCGGTAACTTGGATTAGGAAGGTGGCTGTGCGGCATTTCCTACAAAAGATAAAGACCAATAATATTTCCATTATAATCATTTGACTTCGATGTTTGAGTTGAAATAGCAGAATCACTTGCGCACTTCAATCTTTTTAAAGTATGATTCACAGCAACGAAAATTGGTAAAGAAGAAGGGCGCCGGTTCCCATTAATTCGAACTTCAATCTGTTTAAAGACATTTTCCTCATTTTTAGTGCATAAATAACGGTTCTTTTCTTTTAAGGTAAATTCTTTGTTTTATTTTATCTACACAGTAAGATAAAATCAAGTAACTACCTTACAGCCTACGGAGTGTTCATTGGCTGCATCTAAGTGGTTAACATTTAACTCTAATAGCTCCAATTACGACCTGCGTAATACATCATAATTCTTTTATGATTTCAAGGAATTGGATTATAAAATTCAAAGTTCCTCTTTGATATATAAATAAATAAATGGTAATTATATTTTTATTATCGTCGGCATTGTTGACCTCATGAATCGAGGCAGAAGAAGATAAAGCCTTTGCATTTATTATATATATTTGTGTCTCATTTTTCAGTGTTCTTTTATGTATGTACACTTTATTAAAGATTCTTTAATTTATTACTAAAGATTCTTTGCGTTTAATTATTATCTCATGCATTGCAAAAGATTCTATTTTCTATCCCATCCCATGCTGTTAATTGAATAATGTTGGGAGCTGTTGGTGCGTGGCATTGTTAATTGCCTTATCTCTCGGCCCTTTCGGCCACAACGACCCTTTGGATTATCCGTCATGCTTTTTAAATTAGATTTTGTTATCAAGATGCTCTTAACATTTTCTTTAAAATAATATATTTATCATTGAAATTATCATAATATAAATTTATTATTATAAAAAATATTAATTAATATTAAATACTTGTTAACGAAGACCTTTTAAATTAAATAAAAAGAATCGAACATAATCTGCATTGCCAGCTTTTCCAACCTCCCTCGATATCTCGCAAACGTCTTCAATAAATGAATTAATGGATACTACTCCTTAAAGGACTGTTTACTCAAATAACAGGCAATGAAGATTTTCCAGGCGCACTTGGTTTTATTTCCTTGCTTGTTTATACGAATCTATCCATGTTGGATGACCTTTATAATTGTGGAGTCGTGATGAAGAAGAGAGAATTAGCTTTAAGGGACGGGTGTCCATCCAGCTTTTAGCTAATTAATTCAGATATAAAGGGGCGATAAGTGTGGGCTTTATCGCCACTAATCACGCTAGCTGCTACTCTGCACTAAACAACCTTTTGTTCTTCTTAATTGGGCTGTTTTATTTCCTCCTCGATTCTGAACTCCATAATTATGACCTTTTCACTTTTGGAATTTGGAATCATGGTGTAACCAGACAAACTAAAATGTGAAGCTAGACAAACTGCATGGGAATATTTCTTTTGATTTTGGTTAGTGACTCAGAAAGAAAGGTTGCCAAAACTAATAATGATGTTGGGCTAATTCCTGCACTGCTCAAGAACTTTTAGCTTTAGTAAAGAAATGAAATGTCTCTACTCTAAAACTTTAAAACCAAAATGAGAGTCATTGATGTGCATGTTATTGTAAATCCCTCGACTTTTCCTTGTCTGTCATTTATTTTATTCTTCAAACGAGAATGTTATAATTAGTTTTTTTTTTTTTTCAATTTGCAGTTTTCCTCTTCAAATTGGATTTTCTATTAACTTAAGAGGAAATTTGACAACTAAGCAGACTTCATTAACATTAATATAATCCTACCACTATTTATATTCAGCATTGGAGGGTCTTTATTGTGACTCACTTCGTTCACTCTCTCCTAGCTGTTTTCTTATGATATCAGTGCAATTTTATAATATACGCTCTCAGTGTCAGGAAGGCCAGATTTTGCTCTTTTTGGTTTTTTTTTTCCTTGAAAGATAGGAGGTATGGATTGAATATATTGGAGGCGGCTTATGGTTGTAGATCCTGCAAAGGGGTATGCGATATTTCATGATAATGATCAATACGTTCAACATAAAAACACATGACTATCATGAGAATCCATCATGCACAAGTCTTAATTTCGAGGTTTTATGTAAGGATGGCTAAACCACGGTTAGGTCTTCCCCGTGTTTGTTACTGTAAATTTAGTGAAACAGTGTTTAACTTTAGCATTGGGGTTCGGAGGTAGCCAGAACTTGATAATGGACATTTGGTCCATAAACAAGAGGAACTGGTCAGCTAGACGTGATTCGAGGGGCAAAATCAATTCATAATCTGTTCGTAATTGTTACGGAAAAAAGACGTGGACTATTCTTACATGAGAAAGACTGCTAAAGGGACTGCTTCGTTTTCCCACGAAGACTTGTGTTTTCATTAACGGGAGTATTACAACTGGGATTCGGTGAACTTACTGGAGATTTAAGATAAAACTGAAATGGTTTCCGAATTCAATAGTATTCAAGTGGCTGATATTAACATGGAAAAGAATTCAGAGCGATTAATTCATAATCTGCTCGTAATTGTTACGAACAAAGACGTGGACTATTCTTACATGAGAGAGACTGGTCAAGAGACTGCTTGTTTTCCCACGAAGACTAGGGCTTTCAGACCTCCCAGTCTTCGGCATGCTCCATGACCAAAGAACAATAAAATAAAGAAAAACTATCAATTTTGTATCTTTTGGCCTCGCAAAGAATTACTTTTGATAGTATCCCGGAAATGATTTGTCTCTCATTCTATATATACTTGTCCAAAGTAGAATAAGATCATATACGCAAGTGGAACTGCAATCATAAGAAATAATATCACCGGTTCCTCAGCATTGATGGCCATTGGCCATATTTTCTTCAGCTATATCCTGTTTTTCTCTTTTCATGCGAATAAGCCATTTGCTTATGGTGCTACTGTGGTGGAGAAAAACAAGTCACGTGCCCCTTCATCCACCTTTTCAGGTTACTCTCTCAATATCAAATTTCTAGCTTTGTTCTTTATTTCAAATATCTGTGCAAAGAAAAAACCCCTCCTTTTGTATCCATTCACGATTACGATTATACTAACATTCCATCTTTCAGGCCCTGCACGAGGTTTGACGATAGTCCATCGATAAGGACCCTGCTCAGCATTTAACCAAAAGAAATCACCCTCCGCTTCCAGCCAGATTCTTCTCAAAGACAAGCTCAGGGTTCAGGTTTTCAGTTCCATTACACAAAATAGGCTTGCAGGTGTTGGGAAAGGGGTGACAGCCCCTCCTCTAAACAACTTAGTAAGTGCTGGTAATTTTCATGTCACAGTTGGTTTTGGCACGCCTATAAAATATTTTAATTTGATTTTAGACACGGGCAGTTTCGCAACCTGGGTAAACTGTCAACGTTGTTTGGGGGTTCCCTGCCCAGAACAGAACAACCCGCTCTATTATCCGTCTTCTTCCTCAACTTCCTCTTATGCCCCGTGTTGGCCATCTTGTGATTATTACCAGCAGTACTTAGACGGATCCTACTCCAATGGATCTTTTGTGCGTGATACGCTTATCATACACCCCCCTGATGTGACTTCTAACTTTGTTTTCCTTTGTGCCCAGAACCATAGTAAGGGCTTTGGTGAAGCAGATGGGATTCTAGCCTTAGGTCGGGGCAGCACTAGCCCTGATGAAAAATATGGTAATTATTCTCTTATATCTCAAACTGCAACTCAGTTTGAAAAGGTATTTTGTCATTGTCTTCCCCCGAACGAAAACACAACAGGATATCTGTATTTTGGTAAGGAAGCTCTTGAAAAGTGCCAGAATTCTGGTACTTACACACCGCTTCTAAGTAATCCAAGTGACCCGAGCCTTTATTATGTAAATCTTACTGCCATAACAATAGGCCAGAAAAGATTGGAAATTTCTTCTGCTGTATCATCACCATCATCATTGTCACCAAGCACCATAATTGATTCAGGAACTGTCATTACTCGTCTACCTTCGTCAGTCTATTCAGCGCTGCGCTATGAATTGAAAGAATTGATGTCGAAATACCTTCCTGCTCCTCCCGATAAATTTCTGGATACGTGCTATAACCTGACGGGGTATGATAATTTAACAATACCAAACATGGTGCTACATTTTGAAAATTTAGATGTAAATTTGGACCAAACAGCAGTTGCTTGGAAAGGAAAAGGCCAGTCTCAAGTTTGCTTGGCATTTGCTGGAAACCGTAAAGAGAATGACCTCACAATCATCGGTAATCATCAACAGCAGAAGCTGAACGTACTTTATAACATCCAAAATAAGAGGATAGAAATCGGTCCTGGTAATTGCTAATGATAACAAACATTTCATTCAGGAATCTGAGCTGATGAGATGACAATAAGAGTCAACTGCTTGCTCCTTCATTTCTTTTGAAGTTACTGGGTTTTGTAAATGTATAAATCCAGTCGCATCACGTCGTGACATGTAATGCCACTTAGAATGCAATTGCTTAGTTGGAATCAATCTTTGTCTTTTTTTAATAAATCTTGAATCAATCAAATTTTATACTTTAGGAAACTTGCTTCTTGTTGAATCAATCTTTTTTGGAGCCTTTGGCATTTAAACTGGAAAAAATCTTTCACTCCGGATCACATTATCTCTAGGCATAAAAATTTAAAAAAAGTTATTTTTTATTTTTAATTTTTTTATGCAGTTCTCAAGCTCGAGACTGATATATAACATAGTCATTACCT